CGATGGCGAGCATCGGCAACATGGATCGTCCCCTTTTTGACGGTCTGTCAACTTCAGGGTAGATAAGTAGGGAACACATGAGCCGGGCAACAGTCGAACGGCTCCACTCGTTGTCCTTCTTGAAATGGAAAGACAGAGAGGATCTTTTTCCAGAAGCGCACACAACGGTTATCAGCTTAACCTGTCTGGGATTTGAGATGCAAGCAGATGGAGTTGTCACCCACTCAGGGACTAAGGGACCAAATACACACTAACAAAAGCTTCAATTTTCGCCCCCTGAGGCTTTCGTAATTTGGCCCTCCTGTCAATGCCCTTATTTCTGACGGACGCGCAAGCAGCGAAATCCTGGTCAGAACTTTGCATGGACATCTGTATGCTATTGATTGAACCATACAGTAACCATGGCCAGACCGAGAACACGAACAATCCATATTGTCGACGAGGACCCGAAGGATGGTACACGTCGGCACGGAACTCCATACAACAGAACTATCCGGACCCTCGTGGGTCTGGGAAAGAGTCCCTGAGGGAACGGGCAACCTAAGGACGGCTCCGTCGTACCATTTGCTCTAAACGCCATTGAACCATGGTGATGGCGTCAGGCCCCTCAGCCTTCAGATCGCCGCATTCCCCACCCGCAAGGGACCTTTGCGGCGGCGCTATGAGCAAGTGGCCGCTGAACGCGGGTAAGACAGTGCTTGGCCTAGCGGGCTGCTTGCGTAATGCATCCTGCACCAAACCAGCCGGCGTTAATTTTGATCAACAGTGATTGTCGCAAGTCGGTGTTGATGTGTCCCTCCCCTCCATTAACATTTCTTTTGTTTTCCCCTCCCCCCTTCTACGTTCTTATCGGACACAATCGGGATTCGATTTTGAAGTAGTCTAGAAGAATTCTCATTCAGCAGATAGTAATTGCCCATTTGTCGAACCAGAAGTATTAAATAGGGGGATGAAGACGAGAAGATAAAAAAAGAGGCAAAGATCCAAAAAGAGAGTAGATGGCGTTGCCTACCAAGGAAAGTCGCTGGAGGGGGCTCCATAATGGTAATAACCAGAACAGCCTATCTCTAGTCAGAGCGAGCGGAAAAGGGGCAAGAACCAGCGACTACTGGGCCCCCCGATGGTGGAGACCTGGAGATTGACACCAACCACCAGCGCTCGCCAGGACAGTCGAACTCGCCACGAGAGTGATGAGCATTTGCCTCGCCCCACGGCCGTACCGAGAGATGGTTTCAAGGTCGACCATCCACTCGCAGATTGCAATTAGACAGCAATATATCGAATACGCATTGAGAATCGCGGTGAGGGTCGGGCAAACACCGGCAGCATCGAGCATAGAGAAAATGATGCAGAAGACTCGCAAGTCAATGATGATGAGAACGGACAGGAAGTATGAAATGGACGTTCGATAGTAGATAGTTGACGACGTTTGCAGATGCACTGACTGACTGACTCTTTTGGATGAACCGAAAGAGGTCTGGAACTGGCAAACGTTTTGTTACCATTTGTTCATACTATTTCCGTACCCGGGAACTTGGTTGTACAAGCAGCGGCAATTGGGGAGAATTAGTTCGTATTGACCAAACCATTACGGTACTGAATTCAAATTGTGGTCATTGCGAGGACAATTTGCTGCAATACACTGTATGTGCCGGGTCTCCAGCCCGCTAATTTTTCGCCCCTCGTCACTCCACTTTTGGCCTCCACCGCGATGGGCTTGTTCTTCCCAGCCTAGAACTCGAAACCGCCCGTCAGAACCACTGGTGGTGTTTCACCTGCTTCGGCGTCCATGGGGTAGCATACAAATGGTATCTTATTATAATTCTCCAGCAAATCTTGGTAATATATGCACAAGATACCAGTTCAGAGAGTCTAATACTATCAACTGTTTATTTGATGTGCTCAATGTGAGACCAGGCAAGGCAGATAGATAGAAGTATGAAATCGGCAAGGTTAAAATTGGTTCTTATCTAGGAGTCTACTTACACAGTAACGTTCAATTGACTAACTAAACTAAATGCTAGCATTATCACACTGACTCTGGTTCCGGTTCATTCCTCCCACCCCCCACCAACCAACTCATCCGTCCACAGGTTAGGAAGCAGTAGAATGCATGCCAGCCGCTAAACTTTGGGGATTCAGGTCCGGGTCCAGAGGGAAACTAACTCCTAGTCCAGTATGTAAGTTGACGGTCAGCGCAGTAGACTACCACCACTACTGCTAGTTGTAAATTGTGAGAAAGACGACCAACGAACGACATATCGTGTCCTGAGCCACGATCTTCCCTCTCGGTGTTGATGCGGACCCAGCCCTTTCTCTCTCTGCCTTTCTCTCTCCGTCGCTCTTACACTCTCCGTCTCTTCTCTTCCCTGCCTCACAATTCCCTGACTCTCTCCTCCTCTTCGGCCCCCCCTAAATAATTTTACTTGCGCTTCCCGAGCCGCCTTCACTCCCGCTGCCATCCCACAGGAAATTCAGCCGTAAGTACCTCTCTTCTTGGTACCCTGTTTGCTTACCCGAGAGTTGAAAATTACCTCAACGGACCTTCCCCCCCATCAACTAAACAGCCCCTTCGTCCTCCTCCTCTTCCTCTTCCTTCTTCTCTCCTCCAACCCCGACCATTCTTCTTCACACCGTTCTATTCTCATTCACTCTCTTACTATCCTTTTCTTGTCCAACTCTTGTCTCACTCGTTTCCAGACTTTTTAGGCTTCTCGACTTTTATCCACCTTTTTCTCTGCCACCATTCCTTTTTCTCTTTACGTCCTTTCTTGACAACCGTTACCCGTGGCCTCCGCCAAGTTCGGACAAAGCAGCCTTTTACGGCCGCGACCTTTTGAATTTCAACGTTTCTTATCCGACCAGACTCGCACCTTCATAATGTCTGAGGGCGAAAAAGCCAGAACCTCCGGAGAGGTCTCTCGTCCGGAGCCTACCCTGCCCACCGTCAATCCCGCTGTTGATAAGGCAGAGCCCCCGAAGCCTGCCTTCCACCCTGCTGTCTATGTCGGGTAAGCTACACCAAGATTGAGGGACTCGTATTGAAAGAGTACTAAGATAAAATCAGTGTCTGGATCACTTTGAGTTCCAGTGTTATCCTGTTCAACAAGCATATCCTTGATTATGCCCAGTTCCGTAAGTTCTACACTCGGTGGCTCCGATTCTGGTGACCATATCGCTAATTGTCCTCTCTGATCTTAGGTTTCCGTACGTTGCTCATAACTTATCTCGATATCGTCCAGCAGTCCAACTAACGACATCTAGCTATCATCCTCACAACATGGCATTTGGCATTTGCGACCTTCATGACCCAGCTTCTGGCGCGCACCACCACTCTGCTCGATGGACGGAAAACCGTGAAGATGACTGGCCGTGTCTACCTCCGTGCTATTGTTCCGATCGGTCTTTTCTTCAGTCTGAGTTTGATTTGCGGTAATGTGACTTATCTGTATCTGAGTGTTGCCTTCATCCAGATGCTCAAGGTCAGTCGTTTCCTGTCGAACAAGAGTTTCCCTTGCTAACTCCCCCCTCAGGCTACTACCCCCGTTGCTGTTCTCTTCGCTACTTGGGGTATGGGCATGGCTCCTGTCAACCTCAAGGTCCTGATGAACGTCAGCGTTATCGTGCTCGGTGTCATCATTGCCTCTTTCGGTGAGATCCGCTTTGTCTTCATCGGATTCCTGTTCCAGCTCGGTGGTATTGTCTTCGAGGCCACTCGTCTGGTCATGGTTCAGCGCTTGCTCAGCTCTGCCGAGTACAAGATGGACCCTCTTGTCTCCCTCTACTACTTCGCTCCTGTCTGTGCTGTCATGAACGGTGTCACTGCTCTCTTCCTTGAGGTCCCCAACCTTACCATGGGCCACATCTACAACGTTGGTGTCTGGACATTGCTGGCCAATGCCGTTGTTGCTTTCCTCCTCAACGTTTCCGTTGTCTTCCTGGTAAGGAGCTCTTATATATCGCGTTACTACATAGGGATCAATTCACTGACACATCCCCACAGATTGGCAAGACCTCCTCCCTCGTCATGACCTTGTGCGGTGTCCTCAAGGATATCCTTCTGGTCGCTGCTTCCATGATGATCTGGCAGACCCCCGTCACCCTCACTCAGTTCTTCGGTTACTCCATTGCTCTCGTCGGTCTCGTCTACTACAAGCTTGGCGGTGACAAGATCAAGGAGTACACTGGCCAGGCCAACCGTGCCTGGGCTGAGTATGGAGTTAACCACCCTGCTCAGCGCAAGTTCATCGTGTTCGGTGCTATCCTCCTCATCTTCTTCCTGCTCATGGGCTCCATGGCCCCCAGCTACGCCCCCGAGCAAGTTGCCAGCGTCAAGGGTATGCTCGGTGGTGCTACTGCTGGAAACGCCTAAAGGACCGATTAGAAGTCCAGGTGGATCCAGCCATGCGCCTGCCTTACTACTCAGGCACCGCCTGAGGTGAGCCAGGGAGTGGTAGCTTATGTTGAGGTGGAATGGGGACTGAAGAAGGGTCCCGGGGGGCAAAAGTTCTACCCGCGCGTCACGTTCGCTTTTCTTCCGCCATACTTGGATATGTATGACTCTCTACTGTTATAAAGGATAATATTTCATCTGCCGGGGTAGTTCTTTATGAATTGGGATGCGGGGTGCATCTGGGCCGGCCACATGCGGGGAATGCAGCCGGGCCCAGAAGACACGGTTGATACGACATGGATTTCAAATCCGACGGGGCTTTCACAATATTCGTTTCGCGACCCTGTTTTTTCTTCTTCCTTTTACCATTTATTTTATTAGAAGGATTTTTGTCGGTGTATTGCTCGCGATTTGGCTCGATGACCATTTGTGACGTGTGAAACTAGCAGGAAGTTCAGGTGTCGGATATCATTTTCGCGACCTTGTTTGCTCGTCATCCCATTCTCCTGTTACTATAGGATTTTTCTTTTTGATTACTTTACGAGGGGAACCTTCTCATCAACCAAATAGAATTTCGTCAAGTTTCAGTGTCAGCTTTGAATTGGTGCCTGAGGCATCACATGGTAGAGTAGGGGCTAGTCTGGCCAAGTTCTGGCTAACTTACTACTAAAGTTCCTTGGCTGGCAACCCCCTGGTCAGTCAGCAGTCAGTGCGGGCCTTTAGGGTTGAGCCAATCACGGCGCATCGAAAGCCTCGGGCTTGAGCTGAGTGGTTCAGCCAATGGCCTTGCATCCAGTGAGGGCGGCCGCGCGGACGAGGCGTGCCAATTAAGCCAATGAGAATGAGCCCTAGCAGGTGGAGCCCACCCCATCGTTGCCCGGGACGATTCCCCCTCGACCAATAATGAGCGCATCCTTGCGGGTTGATCTGAGCCCGGTGGATCCCGTCACCTGTTACTGTACGGTATGGTATGCAGTCACGCCAAGGGGTGCACAATCCCTGCGAAACTCTCAGCACTCCCGCGGAAATGGCGGGCGTCACAAGCGTATGGCACGGTAAATACACGGGTCTGGCCAATGGCAAATCCTGCTCTCCGCAATGATGAATGGAGGATCGCAAGGCGCATCCAAAGAAGCTCCGATCACACTGACTTCTCGCTCTCTCGTCCGCATCCGTCAGCTTCTGCTGCTTCTTCTCCTTCCTTTTCTGCTTCTTTCGCGTGGTTCGTTTGGTTCCTCGCTTTCCTCCCACACTTTTCTCCCTTCTCGCTTTCCTTCCCTCCGCTTCTTCTCCTCCACATCTTAGCCGGTGATCCCGTGGTTCGCTTCTTCATTTCGGCTGCGCATCTTCTCCTTCCTCCGTTTATCCTCCTTCCATCCATCTCTCTCTCTCTACCTTCTTCTTCTTCCCTTCCTCCCTCTCCTGCACGTCGTTCTCACTGTATCTTGGGTCAATCCATCCCATCTCATCTTGCTCATATCCTTACCTCTTGATACCCTTCATCCTTATATTCCATATCTCCCATCTCGTACCCTTCCATTGTCACCTCCTGCCTGCTACCTCCACACCCTTTCGCGCATCACCTCTCGTCCTCTCCTTTGGTGCCATACCATAGCTTATATACACAGCTTGGATCGCAAGATCCATAGGTTGCTCTCGTTCTTCATTTCTAGCTCACTGGACAGACAGAACAGGCTCCTTTTCGTTTCAATCTCGTAGTCGCTGCATTCGACCACGCCATCGCATTCGATCACCATGTGCCCAATGCTGCTGAACGGTCTCTCTGATGGCCCGGCGATGGTCCTATCCCCTCCCCAGGACCACGCTTTTGTTCAATTCCCTCGCCAGCCCAAGTTCACCCACGACACAGAGTCGCGGTCCTTCTTCTCTAATAACAACAACCCCTTCCAACCATCCAGACCCTCCCGCAAGAGGTCGCGTGACGAAGACTCCTTCGAAGAAGCCATGAACGGAAACAGCACTCCCATGTCCATCGTGGCTGCTTCTGCTCCGCAACCCAGAAAGCAAGAGGTCGAAGAGCCCATTTATGGCGAAGGCATGGTTCTCCTCAACCCTCGCACCAAGATGGCCATCTCAGCAGAAAGCCAGACTGGCACGTGGTATGAAGAGACTGTCGAGAATGTCACCACCGCTGCCCCGGTCTCGTCGCGTCGTTCCGGCAGTCCTTCTGCTAGCCGTAAAGCTCAGCGTCTGGATCCCGCTGCTTCCAATTTCGACGATATCACCCTCTCCTCCATTCAGCGCAAAATCAACACCGACCAGCAAGACGACAATCGCCGAATCCTCAACGCGGGTAACCGCTCCGAAGAACCCACTGTCGACGACGCTACGCGTCTTCTCGGGATCAGCTGGCAGCGGATTGCGACCGATGACGCCGATATGGCGGCTGCCGTGCGCGGCTGGAAGAAGTATATTGATCGGCAGTTCGCGACGTACCTGGCCGATTCACAGATCCTCCTGAAAAACCGGGCACTGAATGCCTATCTTGTCACCGCACGACCAATGACGCCAATGGGAGTTTCCCCTACACCGGCCTTTTATCTTTTCAACGATGACCTCACCCAAGGACAGCTCGTGGGTTCCACATGGGAAGCCTGCCTCATGAACCTTCGCTCGTCTCCCATCGTTTTCGAAGGCACACAGATTCTGAATGCCGCAGACAGGCCGCTCAACAACGGCATGGCCTCGATGGGAGTTCAGAACCTGCTGGGCGCGAACCCGGTAGATTCAGGTCTTCCACTCCTCCAGACTCTCTGTGCCCAGCCCGTGAACCACGGCAATGGCATGGGGTTGAACAACAGCGTAGGAATGGGAACGGGGATGGAGATCGACGCGTAAGCCATTGGCAGCAGTCTTATCAGCAGCAGAAAAGGCACCTCTCGACGTATAACACCTCACGCCTCAAATAAAAAACCCGATCGACCAACGAACTCGGCGGACATACAGCGGAAGCGACTTTCAACCTCGACAGAAACCGCACTTACCCCCTCCATTTCGGCAGCAAAATTTCTGATTTCCGCTTTTCCTCTTCTCCTGATGGTGGTGTGTCTGTCATCTTCGCTTCGCCATCGTAATTAAAAATTCGGATTTGACATATGTTTGTGGAACTTTTCTTTCCTTTTCTTTCCTTGGATTTGATCTTCTTTGTTTGGCGCAAAGGGTTGGTGGTGGGATGGCTGGGAATGGGTATGGTCATGTGGCCGGTTGGGTCACATGGGTTGGTTCTGTTGCTGCTTTTTTGGTTTCATTTCAATTTTTCTCCTTTTGGTTCTCTGATTGTTGATATACATTTGCCATTTTCACATATCGTCAAGACTTGGAAAGAAACAATGAATGAAAGAAAAAAAATTATCAAGATAATACTTTTCTATGTTTTGGTTGTAGAGAGAGAGTAGTGAATATGTGGGAGGGGAAGTAGCAAGTGGCGGTCAAGATCGCCAGCCAGCTTTTGCCAGATACAGACTTATCCATAATAGGGTTCATGAATCTCCTCCCAGAAATACTACTACCAAATTGCCCAACAGCCTCTCCTGCCCTTCATCTCGCGCCATCCACCACTACATGGCCCATCCTAGTGATGTGAATCCTTGGTCTCATAAGAGGCAAGGATGAACTCTTTTACGACATTGTTGCCGTCCTTATCAGTCTCGAGTGCATTCCCGGCCCAACTTAGCTCACGGGTCTGGTTTCCACCCAGGTAAACCCTTTGTCATCCTCCCGAATAGGCTGTGCCTTCTGGACTCCGAACAGGGAATCAATGTCCTCGAGACTCAAGTTAGCTGTTTCGGGATAGTAGAAGTACACGATCTGAGACGTTGGCAAACATTCATCAGCAGGCCGGTGGCGCTATGCGGGGATCGGAATGTATGTTCCGAACTCACCGGTATAAAGACGAGGTTAAAGGCGACGAAGATGAGATACCCTTTCCATGCCAGGTCTCGGATCAGCGTCGGAGATATCATGTTCACGAAAAAGCTCCAGAGCCAGTTAGCCGAAATTCCGATGGCTTGCCTATTTGCGGTGCTGAGAGTTAGCCATACTCCAGACCAAACTGGCCCGCCACCGGTTGGAATGGGGTGAGTGTCCTGGCCTACCCTTTTGTCCGGACGTGTTGGGGCAGTAGCTCTGGCCCGTATACCCATGGTATGCAATTAATCGTGGCCCCGTAGATGAGCATATACAGAAAGAAGAAAGCCACGGAGGCCGTAGCGGCCGACTTTTCCAGGTTTGTCCCTGTCGGTGCCGGGTGTTAGATTAATTCCCTAACTCTGTACTCCGAGCCATACGCCGGGCTTACCTTTGAAGGACAGAAGAATGGAGATCATGAGTAGGCATACGAAGAGGCCAAAGGATCCCCACATCATTGGACTCCGCCGTCCCAGTCGATCGGAGTAAAAGATGGGATAAAAAGCACCTACGGTAACACGATCAGCGCTCTGTTGCTGTAGTGGGGATGGACCAGAATTCCTCGGTACCTATGACAAACATCAATTGGATCACTCCACTGAGCAATAAACTCAACTTGGCGTCGAGGCCCACGTTATCTTCAAGGACTAGGAGTAGGCATGTCGTCAGCCATTGATCAGACATCACAGGGAGGAATGATCGTAGGTTTTACCTGTAGTGACATAGGTCTGGGGCATGGAGTTAGCTTTTGAACTGTGGTGTTCTTGAGGTTCACTTACAACAATCAAGGGAGCCCCTCCCATCTGGTTCGTAAACTGCAGCCCATACGCCAGCAAGATTCGTCGACCCGTATGAAGCTCATCTTTCTTGAAGATCTCTGACCACTTATACTCTGGACGACCATCGTCTATGGCCCTGAAGATATTTTCAGCCTCCTGGGTTACCGTTGGATGATCTAGTGGTAGATCATAGAAGTCGCTTAGAACTTGCAAGGCCTCCTGCCTCCTATGCTGACGGCACAACCACCGAGGATTCTCCGGAAGTCTGTCCAACAAGAGTGAGATGATATGCTCAACTCGAACAACGCGTGGCAGCCCAACTTACCCAAGAAGCAATATGATAACTAGAATTGCGATGATCACTTGACTGGCGATGGGCAGCCTCCAGTTGATAGGTCCATCCACATAGCTCATGCCATAGTCGTACCAGTACGCGATGGTAATACCTACACCGACAGCGAGAGGCTGAGTGCAGACGTACATTCCTCGTTTGCGTGCTTCACATAATTCCGCTTGGTACACCGGCACGGTCGTTGTCATGATGCCAATTCCAATCCCAGTGAAGAGCCGGGACACCAGCAACTGTGTTTTGGAGTAGGAGCTGGTCTGGACCGTTGCCCCAATCTGTAAAGCGCCATTAGCATCTGCATGTGAAAAGCAAGTCTGACGGAGACACATACTATAATTATACACATCGCAAGCCACACGGACTTTCGAAAACCTAAATTGTCACTTGTCAAGAAGGCCACCGCTGTGCCAAGGAGACAGCCTAGATTGTATATAGACACTATGATTCCCATTACAGCCGTAGTGGGATGGTGGACGATGGCGAGGAAATCAGCGTTGTTGATAATCCCAGAAAATACTGCCTGGTTGTAGCCTATCCATGATAAAACTGAGGGTTAGTATATACTGCACCCTAGGCGCGTTCGTCAGGTATATCTCACCGAATAAGGCGAATGCTGCTTGGCAGGTGAACATGATGGCCAGCCGAAGGCTGAGCCCCCGTCCGTACATATTGATTTTGACCATAATCGCAACCGTGGGAACAGAGCGAGGAAGGTCAGCAACTGAAATCGAACCTCAAGCTAAACGTATACTGGAAGTACGACATTTATATATGTACTTAGTGCGATCCCATCTTCGTCATTAACCGCGAAAACCAGGGGGGTCAAGACTTCTGTGGACCCGTGGCACACAAATTTGGTGCGCAGGAAGCGCAATAGTCTGAATAGTTCTCCTCATGATGAGGTAGTATCCCCATCGGATATCTGAAGCCCCAGTAACCCATTGTAGATCGACGCAGGATCCTCCATACCAAAGACCGGTAAATGCCGCAATAGGATGGAGAACCGGACCTGCAACAAGAACCAGCGAGTCAGACGACGGGTTGCTAGCATTCAACGATACGACCTGCCCACCTTGTACATTCCTCAGGGTCTGCGGAGGATCGACTTCCGACTGGCACAAGGCTAGGAGAGTTCGAATATCATTTCCAAGATAGATATATCACCACCACACACCATGACTCATATGCAGCGTCAGCACAAAGAAGCAGTTACAGGAGTTCAAGTGTAGATCGATGTGCTTCAGCTGTCGTATATCGAAAAGACCCCCCTCCAACAGCAGGCAGTTGAACTGTAGGCACAAACTCGCACCATCAAACTCCCAGAAGGGGGAGCCCCTTGCCTTAATTCTGCCTGGATCGTGAAAGTCACAATCTAGGCAGCTCAAAAACCTATTAATAGTTCCAAATTTACTGACATTCTGGGTTTTCAACAGGGCCATAGTGACGATGGTATCGATGGAGCCTCCTGAGAATAGGGTTCTGCTAGGCTTTGTCTCCAAGTAGTGGTATACCACCCACCCACCAACGGGGGATTAATGTTCGAGACCGAAAAGAGGGGGAGAGATAACAAGGTTTGATGGCATAGATGATGCAGTTGGTGGAGTGTATGGACATGAGTTAAGGTGGGGAGATGAAGTTGCAGACTACGCGTTTCAGCTCATTTCGATGCCTGCTACACGTGATATCGGCCTGAAAATGGCAAGACAAGCAACAAGGAAGGAACCAAGCGAATTAGATCATATGCCCATCACATGCTTTTCAAGATTTAAGCCTGGAATGACTGGGTATCAAATTCCCGTCGACTTGGCGCCGGACTCTATGTACATGCCTTGTGGTGAAATACAACCCTGCTATCATCGCAACTTTAATCACTGCCATAATCGCTCCCCTCGTCATAATAGTCACCATAGGTTCCAGCAAGCGCCGCGTCAACTCCGTCATCCTCCATGTCATCCTCGTCGTCGTAGTCATCCTCTTGCTCGTCATCCGAGTACTCGTTCTTTGCTCCATCTGCGGGACCGAGGACTTGCTCATTCTGACTCGCTTTCCCACCTTGATCCGTCAGGGCCTGAGCAGCAGGGGCCGCTGAGCCACGCGCCGGACCCGCGGTAGACGAAGAAGCCCCAGCAGGTTGGCCACTTGAGGGGGTTGCAAGCCGGGTACGCCTCGAGGCCGCCTCTGGCTCGATACTGGCGCTGCGGCGTGACACAACACTTTGGCTGCGACTCTGGCTTCGGCTCAAACTCTCTTCCTTAGGTTTGGAGGCCTCGTCGGCCCCTTCATCGCCAAATAGTGACTCCAAAAGACGATAGTTGATCTTTTTACTGAACCCTCTTCTCTCCAACATCCGACGGGTAGCTTCGGCAGGGGTGGAAGCCCGAGTACTGCGGCCATCGGCGTCTTCACCTTCGCCTTCAAGATAAGTAACGTCGCCCAGTCTACCGCGGCGGCGTTTCCGCGGCTTGTGCACGCGACCGTCCGCGCCAGGGTGGGAATCGGCCTCGGCCAGAGCTCGCTTGAGCGCTTTAGCTTGCTGGGTCCTAAGATAATCTTTGTTCTCATGGACCCAGATCCGTTCTTTAATCTCAACTTCCGCAGGAGAAAGTAAACAATTAGACACCTCCGGATCCGATTCAAACTCCGCAGCGTCGATCTCTGTATTGTCAGAGACGACCTTCCTCGGAGGACCGGCACTAGTGTCAAACATGTTCGATCCTTTGGACAACAGCGCGGTCATTTCATTCTCCAAGGCCTCTTCCGATGCAATTTGATCTGGCGAAGGTGCTGGAAGCGGGGGTCTCTTCGGACCCTTCTGGCGAGCAGACTTGGCGTGCTCCTCGCCAGCATCCGAAATGGTTTCGCTTGCAGCAGAGGCAGTCGATTGGCGACGTTGACCGCTGCTGGCTGCTAATAATGCCGGATCAATAGGAAGACTAGGAATAGCGAATCCGTCTGAGTCGACACGCCTATGTTGTTGTGCTTCCTGTATATCACTCTCCATCTCGGCAGCCGTTTCCGTGGGCCGTCTCTTGAAAGAGCGTGATGGCTTTCGTCCTTCTCTAGCCCTGGCAAAAGAAGGTGGGTCATGCGCGTTTTCCAGCTGCACGGAACGAAACTGGTCGACTGTAAGTTCACCACTTTCGGTAGAGCTGAACTCGTTCAAACGCTGGCTAATAGTGATCTCTGTGACCTTGACGACGTAGACAACCTCTCGAACAGTGCGGCGAAAGTTGTTCATGCGGGCTGCAAGAATCAAGGCGGCACCACAAATACCAGCGGGACGACGACCCGTCGTCATCCAATCGCGGTTCATCCGCTGTACGATACGGACCGCCTCGCTCGCCACCTGCATGGTAGCCGACCCAAATTCAAGCTGTTTGGCAAATCTGTAGATCAAACTCTCCGGGTCAATCGGATTCATCAGAAAGACATTACCACCCAGACGCAACTCGTCAAGCAGTGCTTTGTAGGTCCGGCCTAGCTTGAAGACGTTGATCATTAGAACGTCGGCAAAATCGATGAGCATGATAGTGTTGCCATCCTGGCGACGACACGCAATATATAGGCATACAGCAGCTACAGTCTTGGTCCTTCGACCTTGGATGAAGTTCAATCCGACTGCCAGCTTGAACACCTGACCAGCAGCCTTCATGGCACTCTCTGGGATAGTCAAGGCACGAGATAGCTGAGTAATGTAGCGGTTACCATTTTGTTCCGTAATCTCGCGGCTTTCGGCGCCTCCACGCTGAAAGCCAGGGCCATAACTGCGGACATGGGATTGATCTTCGCCGACAAAGGTACCCTGAACGACTGCTGCACCTGACGACGATTCCCCAAAAGTCACTTCGGAGACGATGTTTGCTTCACTTATGACAGTACCACACCCGGAACAAACCTTCTGGCCGTCATCCTCAACGATGTGAGGGGCAGGACAGCCCGGGTTAGGGCAAGTTGAGGTTTTGGGGTGGGTAGTTGGCCTGGCAGGCTGAGGCCGAGAAATTGGCTGGGGACGCCTGATTGGAGTTGGATTGGGCGATTTCAGACTGGCTAGTCTTCCCATAGGTGGCTTTGGGCCGCCGCGTGGGGGAATGGGAGCACGCATCCCAGGCCTAGGGACGGACATTGTAAATGCGACGGGATGGCTCTGTTGGGGGGTCGATGATGTCCACGAACGGTGGTAGTAGGTCGGTCCAATAAGATGAAGAAAAATAGACAATCGATCACACAGGGTCTATCATGCCTAAATGGTCCAGACAAAGATCCTGGACGTAATGTGGTCTATTCGTCGAGCTGAAGGTGCAGCGACGAGGCCAGACGGAGGGGCTATAAGAGCGAACAAACCGCACAAAGAACACTCCGGCGGGGTTTCAAGATGTTATCAGGGGGGCTGGCAGATGTGTTATACGGGTAAAAGATAACCAAAGCCCCGTATTCACTGGATCAACTAGAAATAGTAAAGAGAAACTGGCTACAGAATTCAACCCGCAGCTGGGGAGTATAAGTAAAAGTAGTTGATGAAAGAGGGAAGAATGAAATGGAGTTGATTCAAGTGGGCGCGACGCATCACCGACGTGAAAAATATGACGCGCCTGTCGCGGTGGTCCAATGGAAGAGTCACGTGGCCCGCTGTTGTCTTGAAGGCCGAAGTTCGTTTCTGCCTCATTCCTGACTGTCTCTCGTTCGAGTCCCCGAGGAGGCATTTTCCGGAAATGCTGCAGTCCCCGTTGTAGGCTGGCTGACCTGCCAGCAGCTGCTTCAATACCCCTTTCAGATTGTGGGTTCATTTCATATCGATTTCTCAATCTGGGGAAATTTTCCAGTCTATTCTATCTGTCATAAAAAAGGTATCCTGGTCAAAAGTCCGGTGGTACCGTTTCATTAGGCTATGTTAGGCTGTTTGCAGCTAGCTAGTGTACTAGTATTTGGCAGTTCGCTCTCCTCAGCTATCGAGAACTACAGCATTCTCGTATGGAAAAGACAACGTGCACAGCTCCATTAAATATGTTTAAATAGCTGATTCTATATCTTTAGGCCAAGGAATGGGCGTCTAAAGCAGCCTCCTCGATCGGCCAAATCTAATCTGGACGATCGCATCTTCAACTTCCTTCCATCTTTTTTTTTTTTCCCCTGGGAGCTTAAACTGGGACCGAATCCATCAAAAAGACCCGCTAACTGCTTAGTGAGCCAATCCCGATCAACCAAATGCCGGAGCTTTAAAAAATTTCGCCACATATGTAATTCCCACTTTTGTCTAAACTCTCCTCCACAGGGATACTCGTAGTATCGGGAGATAATGCCGGTTTAATAGCGGAGGAATCGAATGGATCTCTTCAATCACATGCACCCACGAGGGGGAAGTTTGATAAGAATTGTTCATCCAGGGGCATGTGGTACATATGACTTACATCACCTACACACAGTAGCATTTCTTCTCCGTGGAGGGTGAAGTGGGTAAATGACTGAAGTGGAATGCGCCATTTGTGCGCGGCCCCAGAACATCCTCACTTCTTCTTTTGACGCACAAAACGCGCAGCTTTGCCTCCTCCCTCCCCCCTTCCCTGATCGAAGAACCCAGAAACATGATGTTAATAATGATTCATATTTCTTCCACTCTCTCCCTCCTTCTCTGGCCTATTTGTAGAGAGTTCGCCCTTCCTCATCCCTTACTTGTTGACTGAGCAAT